AATAAAATAATTAAAGCAGGGAAGAATTCTGAGTGTTCCTAGTTCTTCGCAGTTCCTGCATGCTGTCCGTTGTCGCACTATGGAGCGAGTCAATGGGAGGTGTCGGACATAGCACACTGCGCATCGGACGTTCCGTAATCATCAGAATTTTCTTTATTAAATGTTCGACAAACTCACAAGCCTCATGTAATTTTCATCGTAGATTTCATTTTTGATAGTATTTTTACATTTTGACCAACAAAAACTATATTTTTTTTTGTTTGATGAGGGGAAAAATTCGCTACAGTACCCCCATCATGAGGGTCGCCAAAACGCCCCCCATGAAAGGGGCCCACCGAATACCGGGACGGCAACGGCCATCAGCTGGTGAAGAGCCGCCGAAGCGACCCGACCGCTGTGAGATGGGAAAACCCGGTTATGTGGGGGTAGAGCACGCCGCTGTGTTCCGTACCCACTAAACGACCCCTCCAGGCCACACCCCGTGCAAGTGTGGCCCATCGGACGCTCTATCCTCCGGTCGGACGTCCCTAAGGCACTCTTCGAACGGCAGTCCCCGACCCCGGTGCAGCCGGCGCCCCTCAGACCCCCCACTTGGGGGAGGGTCCCCCCATCCCCCGGGACTGATCTACCGAAGGCATCATTGTACCCGGAGTCAAGGGCGTAGGAGGAGAGCCTAGGCTCAGAATGCGCCAAACCCTGCGACAACCCCACGGCAGGGCCGTGGAGCCAAGGACTGGAGGGCAGGGAGGGCAGACCAGCTATGTCTCGCTCAGCCCTTGAGGCACCCGATAAAAAAAAAAAAAAAACTATAGTTATATGTGATTTATGAGAGCTACTACTGTTATTAAATATTAGCCAAATGTTCAACTTCATCAACAAATGTTTCTCATCACTTTTTGTGATGAAGATAATATATGGCTCTATTATCGGCGAAAAGCGGCAATTTGTGAAGTTTTAATTCTTTTTACTACTAGAACTTAAAAACATAAGGGAATGGGGAGGGGGAGCGAAGGAACCGTTCGCTGGGAATGTTTGCGTAAAAATAAGTCATTTACCTGCATCAATCTGTTAACATTACTAATGTTGATTTTTTATTATCCTTCCCTCAAATTGATCGTCATGTTCGTCAAATTGTTCAAAGTCAATCAGTGTCAACAGGCTGCCCAATCGTAATTAGAGATAATGGATTCGTATGAATCGAGCGCGCCCTTAAGCCATGGATGAAAGTCGCGCGTGGCTGCAGTATGTAACCATTAAGGTGACATCACAGCCGTAGCAGCAGATGATGGCAGCTGGGTTTAGTATAATATCATTCTAAATTCAAATGTCCCTAAATTGTGAAAAGGTTGATGTTTTAAATCTAAGTTCGCCTCAAACTGTCTATGGCATTTATTGTGATGGGTGCCTCTAAACGGACATTATGAGCTAAAAAAAAGAAGAAGAAAAAAGAATTTTTTTCTCCAGAATCTGTGAAATAGCAATCAACCGTTGAAATTGCAGATAAAGCCGCCTGACTGTAAGCAGCGATGACGTATTCGTGAGGGTAGGGTAGCGCGCAACTGCAAAATTCAAAAGACAACGTATCGTCACAGCCAAATCGGCACATTTTGGCAGCTGATTCCTCCGAATTATCATTCCCAAGGGTCCTACGAATGTCCTCATACAAAAGAGAGCTTGACACTGGTTGCATAACTTTTTAAATTTTTGCTTAAACTTTTTTTTAGCATTTTGGAGATAGGTGCCTTTGAACGGATATTACGACCGTGAAAAATAAGATAAGTAATACCTATAATACAGGGTTATCCAAAAGTCACTGACCACCCCTGTAACTTTTTTCCAAATTGAGATAGAAGTTTGAAACTTTGGGAATGTTCCGCGGTCTAAGGTAGCAACTTTTTGGTCCCCCCAAAATTTTGGGGGGCGGTCCCCCTTCAGGGGGGCGGGGGCTAACTTTTTTTTTCAAATGGCAACCCCCCCTTTGTGATACCTCATTCGAAAGATAATAAAAAAAGAAAATTTTTGGCGCAAACCGCAGGTCAAAATGTTCATTTTTGACAGAATGGCGGCCGATCAAAGTTCAAAATGACGGAAATTTGGCATCTCCGTTGTTTATTGACGGATTGGTGTGAAACTCGGAATCCTCGGGTTTTTTGAGATGAGAACAACGATTCTGGCATTGGTTTTCCAGAAAAGTCAGTCCTTTTCATAATGGTGGCGATCAAAATGGCGGCCTAGAGCGGGAAGTAGATATTTAGGCTGCATATCGTTGGATTTGCATGAAACTTGGTATCTGGGGGTATTTCGGCACGAGAAGAACGAATCTTTCATTGGATATCTGAAATTTTGACAAATTCCAAAATGGCGGAGAAAAAATTGCGGGAAATCAGTTTTACGGCTCTTTACCGATGGATTAGCATGAAATTATTTGATATTTCAAGAATCTAATGAAAGATTCCTTTTAATCCAGCCAATAACCGCCAGGATATCGAATTTCATGCAAATCCATCGGTAAACAGCCGTAAAACTGATTTCCCGCCATTTTTCCGCCGCCATTTTGGAATTTGTTAAAATTTCAGATATCCAATGAAAGATTCGTTCTTCTCGTGCCGAAACACCTCCAGAAACCAAGTTTCCTGCAAATCCAACGATATGCAGCCTAAATATCCACTTCCCGCTCTAGGCCGCCATTTTGAAAAGGACTGACTTTTCTGGAAAACCAATGCCAGAATCGTTTTTCTCATCTCAAAAAATCCAACGATTCCAAGTTTCACACCAATCCGTCAATAAACAACGGAGATGCTAAATTTCCGCCATTTTGAACTTTGATCGGCCGCCATTCTGTCAAAAATGAACATTTTGACCTGCGGTTTGCGCCAAAAATTTTCTTTTTTTATTATCTTTCGCATGAGGTATCACAAAGGGGGGGGGTTGCCATTTGAAAAAAAAAGTTAGCCCCCGCCCCCCTTAAGGGGGGCAGCCCCCCAAAATTTTGGGGGGACCAAAAAGTTGCTACCTTAGACCGAGGAACATTCCCAAAGTTTCAAACTTCTATCTCAATTTGGAAAAAAGTTACAGGGGTGGTCAGTGACTTTTGGATAACCCTGTAGAGGAAAATGCTCTTCGAACTCTGCAGATTAACAATCAATCGTTGATTTTTACATTTGTGGAAGTTGAGATTGACTAAATAAAGTAGAAAGAATTATATGTAATTTAACTGAAATTAGGAATTCTCGTAATACCCATGTTTGGTAGGATGTGGCGTGTACATGGAATTAATTCGGCCCAAACTAGTGCCAATTCCTTTAAATATAACCATTAAGGATCACTTTTCAGCTGCCAAACATGGGATTGACCGAAATGGCCTTTGTCCGACCTTTACCATTGACTTGCTCTACCATGTATCGTCAATTGCAGGTTGGAATTTTTCAGGTATATGTATACATATATCTGTGTATTCTACACAGGGGGCTTTGAAAGTTTGCCGGAAGAGAACACGTCGGCATAGTTCATTGGAAAATTACAGCATACATCTGTTTCTCTGTACTTCATGAGGGGGGGGGGGGGTAATCCCCAACTTTTTTCTTGGGGGGGAGGCAGTTTTATTTGATTATAAATCTCGCATAGTTTTGTGCACTGTACAAGTGTAAACACATCTGGTTGTATGGTATATCTGGAATTATGTAGTCAAAGTAATGAAGCGGTCACTCTAGCAATTGTGTGCTTTCAGGAAAGTGAACATTTTCTTCGGAAAGTCTTCTGAAAGAAGATTGTAGCATAACAGATGAGTAAATTTTAGATAACAAAAAATTGAAAGGAAAGAAAATCAATTCAGTCTGCCTTCAAACGAGTTTGGATGGTCAAGGATTCAGATAATTTGATGTTAATTAATCTGATCCTTTTTGTTATTGCATTTTGAACCTCTTCTTTACCTTCATTTTTTTTCAAGTGTGTTTCTAAATTGGCCATCTTTTATCTCAGTCCAAATATGGAGGATGGGCAGAGACAAGAGACCCTCCACTGGTATCTTGGCAATGGTGGAAGCTTTTACTTTCGGTACTACAGCATTCTACTGTTGACTTGCCTACACGGTTGATATTTAACAACGTGTTGGCTGTTTCGTTTTGCAAACAAGCCGAAGTTTGGGAAACTTGTTTGGCTCATGACATCACCCTAAGCTCATCATCCACCATGTAGGTAGGTCAACAGCCGAAATTAGAGTAATGACTTTGCTCCCTTATAATTGTCCATAAGGAATTGTTGAATCCTCGAAAGTAAAAGCTTCCACCTAGAGTAATTATATAGGGAGAGTATGGACAACTCGAAATATGTAGCTCTTAGGGCCCAAAAGGGTTGGTAACCTTTGAAAACGAAAAATGTCCCGGTCAATCTTTAGACTCCAATATCAAACGAAAATGGACAAGAAAATTCATAAGTAAGCATTCTTTCACAAAAATGAGTAAGTTTATGCAACAACCAAGTCAAACACGTGCTTTACCAACGACAGTTCCCAACAATTGTGATTATAAATCACTCTGGATAATTGGAATTCATAGATTGCCTACTCTTTTGGGGTCTAAGAGCTCCATCACCTAACCTCAAAATTTTCGACTTGTCCAATGTCCATACTCTCCCTATATAGGTACTCTACTTCCACCTGTCGCCAAGAGGCCAGTGGAGGATCTCTTGCCTCTGAGGATGGGTCATTAAACGATATTTTTAAACGTCATCTGACTGAATATCTATCGCATCAGTCTATTGGAGTTAGTAGAATATGCTTCTTCGTTTTTTATCGATTCATCATTAGTATTACATCTTAGTATAAAGCAACACTTTTCGTAATTATCTACTGTATTTATTTTTAGTATAAATAAAGATCTATGATTACTGATCCTCTTTGTCGGGGAAGACACAATCTTACTAGTTTGTCTCCAAGTAATCTTATTTAAATTTATTTATTATTATTCATCTGTATATTTATATGTTATTATTATGTAACGTAGGTCGAGCTGCACTACAAAAGCGTATCATGGCATTACTTAGAAAAATCGAGCATTGTGTAAATGGTGTCCAGCCGGTGAGTAATACTTTTCACCCCAGGTATTAATAAATACTATCCATGTAATTTATTTATGAAGCCAGCATGGCAATGGTGCAGAAGTTAAGGTAGTTTGCTGTCAACACTGAGATCCTGAGTTCATTTCTTGGTGTGATGGTGACAGGGCTCTAAAGATACTGAAAAATCGTGGCTGACCATGTCACTCCGATACCCTTTCAGACCCTTAGAGGTGGCAAGAGCAGCATGGCCATCTGGTAGAAGTTTGTTCACATTGTTTGTCATTGATATGATTTAATCGTGGATCGGTGGATCATTCATTATGTATGCCAGCACTTCTTATCAGTGGGACATTGAAACACCAGAGCTCCACTCAGTGGGGACATGGCAGTGCCTCGGAAAAGTCAATGCTTCTCCATCAAACTTTAATCACAATCGCAATTAATTTCTCTATGGCTTGATGTAGACGGGTGGATTTCAGCTAATGGGAGAAAATATGGGGAAGACATGTAACTGGCTGCTACAAACTGGTAATCATGATATTTTCTTTGGATTTTTGGTTTTTTTGGGTAGCAATAAATCACACTTACTATTAACCAATTCCACAGGAGATTTGAATAACTCTAAACCTTTTTTTCAATGTGCTAAATAGTGAAAATGTCAGTCTGGTGACGTGTAACTGGGCGGGTAGTCAATGTATCAAATCGTTATACAGACGAATCAGGACCTTTTGCGAAGTTTGTATCATTTTATCTCAAGTCTTGGTCTTTTATTGTTTGATATAATATGCATTGGAATACTAGAAAACAATGTTATTCAATTTAATTTGAAGCTTGAAGCATGTAACTCAATATTCGGTCACGCTTCAGGGGAGGGAGGGGGGAGGGTAACGCTTTCAGTTATAGTTTGTGGCCACACAGAATACAGTGCTACAGTGCTGATTGGGGTGTGCATAATTAGTGCGGGAGGATCAATAGAGTCGAAAGGGGCTTGGTACATCGGTGCATATCCCTCATATTAATCATAATCACTCGGTCGAATCCCTGATTTTTGGAGTGTCTCACTTATTCACTATTGGCACTGTTTTCCCTCGAATCGTTTGATGGAATATGTGGTTAAATATTTTTTTCTTAAAGCTGCAGATGCACTCGTGGCTCATCCTCAATGTTTTGTTTAATTTTGTTTCCGTTTTGCAGGAAAAATGTATTACCTCAAAATGTCAGTCTGGTGACGCCACCAGAATGACTGTATCTCAATTTCTAGGTATCCAGGTAGGCAGCTGCATAGTTTATTTTGTAGCTGGGTCGTTATGAGAATTATATACATAAGGTGTCAGTGTTTATAGAAAGGGTTCATTGTGAGCTTTCATCACAAAGTTGATCAGGAAGTAAGCATTACATGACTGTCAGTCATGTGACATCACCAGAATGACATGTCTTTAATATGTTAATGTTTAATAGTTACTGATTTTATAAACTGTGTTTTTGAACCCTTAAGATTACGTTTAAATTATGAAAACTTATACCCACTAACTAATTATTATGGCTGCATGTCATTCTGGTGACGCTCCTTTTTTAACCAATTTTTCTATGACATCGTTTTATAAGCTCATTCTAAAACTTTAGACCACTTCTGTATATACTTCTCTTAACAAATAAAAGTTTCAGAACAGTATACATCCGATTTCATGACACATAGAGAGGAATAATGTAAGTCATTCTTGCAATTTCGTAATAAATTTGGCTTTCTGACTCTATAATTTTTGTTTTATGGAACAGAGTCTCAATTTTTGGTTTGTATATAGTTCTTACTATGTCTTCTTATAATACAGCCCATTACTTTCAATCAGTACATAGGAAAATCACAACCAAGTTGAACTTATGATTTTAAAGCCAAATCAGTAAGCATCACTGGATTGACATTAATGGTAGTTTTTCAGATTTCAAACTCTCATTTCTATCCATAATCGTAAAGATATTGCGATGCACGACTTTGTGTCCTATAATATGGAGCTTCAAGATAATAGGAAAGTAGTCTTTAGCTTGATATAGCCAAATCACTTCACTTTTTTCCAGAACCATTTTCTCCCATTAGCTGAAATCCACCCATACATGTGTAATTATGTTTAAATGTATTAATTTCCAACAAGTTCTCCTGTGAAAATTTTAATTTTCTATAATTTTACCAAGATTCTATGTTTTCCATGGTCATACGGTACTTTTTTCATAATTTGGGATTTTTGCTGCGCTAGGTTGAGCATAGTCTCGAAAACCTCGTACAACCAGTTGTCTACTGCCGTCCTGTACTTCTTCCTCTCATATCAGATGTACAGGCTTTGATTTCTTTCGCTGCTACGATTCATTTCGCCCTTATGGTGTACTTGAAAAAAATTGTTTCAGGCATGGGAAGAGACTTTCCGAAACTGGGAGGCATCCAGCAAAATTTTCCAATCATATCCTAAAAGTAAGTGTGAAGATGCGCAGGTGGAGTCATTTCATCGCTCGGTGAGCAAACGTAGAGCGTCTCATCAGAACTCAGAGCATGAATTGGAGGTGAGAATAATCAAATGATTTCTTTCATATCTTTTTTTATCCCACATCAGGGTGGTTTTTCTGATCTGTTATTCTTTACATCAGAATTGAAAGCTGAGGCTAATGTTGTCTGCTTTATTTACGTATTGCAGGAGCAAATCAATGAATGGGCAAACATGACTGGTTTTTTATGTGCATTGGGTGGAGTATGTCTGCAAAAGAAGTCACCGACGAAACCGCCAACCAGTGCTGTTGACTCACGCAAAGTCAGTGTTTTACCTCCCCCTGCTCAGGAAGTTCAGTACTGTCCTGTCACGCAGTTAGTATTTCATTTTAATTCTCTTTTGTGTCTCTTCAAACCTACAAGGGAAGGCTAACAAATGTCCTATTCAGATGGGATTCAAATTTGGCGGGGACTTAAAATAGGGAAATATAAGAACCTGTATTTTTTTTTTTTTTGCTCCAATGCCCTTATGAAATGGGTAGAAGAGCAAAAAAGAACACGATCTCAGATAAAGTTCATAACTTTACGTAATGCAAAAGATACAAAAGTTTGCTCAATATGAGCATGATAAGTTACCACAGAAAAACGGAGAGCTCGAACACAACAAGACGCCATGATAGGAATTATGTGACTAAAAAGAAAAGAAGAAGACCAATCACAGAGCAGAATTGCACTAGGCATCTCACTGCATCTCACACACCCCTTCAATTCTACAATCTTGAACGGAGAGTAGAAAAAAAACTAGTCTTAGATAGACATTACATATCTTAGAGAATAAAAGTATTAAGTAATTTTTGACTTTGGTAATCAAAACTCATTAACTACAACTAGCATTTGTAGACAATAAAAATCATTAAAGCAGAACACTGTATCAATAAAAATACATATAAAATTTAGCAAAATGTATGAGAAACAAAATTAAATGTCATTAATGAAATTTGGTGTTCTTACAGTCTTATTATTGAGAATAAACTTGAACTAAACAATTTAAATGCGGGATGAACCAAGCTGTGGGAAGAACTTGTCAAATTGGATCTTGCCTAGACTCTTTGTTAAAATGTCAGCACTCTGACAGTGTCTGATCTGCACTCTTGACATATTCTGTACGCAATTTATTTTCTGCAATTTGATCTCTAATAAAATGATACTCTCTGTCAATATGTTTGCTCCTGCTGTTCTCATAACTCTTAGTGATGATGATTGTAGACGTATTATCCTCATAAACAACTGGGGAGGATTCTTTGATTAGTAAGGGGATAGGGTGGGTATTCTCATGAAAAACTCATTTATCAGTTGCGATAGCCACTTCAGCTCTCTTCAGCATTCGCCTAGGGAAATATATTCTGCTTCGCAAGTAGAAAGGGACCTTACTGATTGTTTTTTGGTTTTCCAAAATACCAAGTTACCAAATAGTCTTATGAAGTATCCACTTATGCTTTTGCGATCAGTAATATTGTTGGCAAAATCTGCTTCTGCATATGCTTCAGTTTTGTTAGGAGTGACTTTCTTTTCAAAAACTAGCTTCATGTTACAAGTATTTTTAAGGTATCTCAGAACATTCTTTAAATGATTCCAATGTAAACATGTAAAATCGTTCCGAAAAGTAGCAAAGTAATGGACAGGAAAAGATAGATAGGGATGAGTAGCGAGCATCAAATACTTCGGCTACCTAAAAGTTTCCTGTAGGGTAAATTACTGATATCAACTTTTGATTCGTCCACCACGGAAAGTTTAGAATTTATACTTTTGCATAATTTACCCAATACAGCTAAAAACTTTGGTTCCATGGGTGTGGAGTATGTTTTGCATTCTTGCATCTCAAATTTTTCTAAGATACTTAAAATGAATTCTGTTGATTGAATGTGAATTTATTTTCAGAAATGTCTATTTCAATACCTGAAAATTTAAATTTTTTACTCGTGTCATATAAAGGCATTTTGTATTTCTTAATGAAAGCATCTTTCACAAAAGTTAATTGTTTATCTGACTTTGAAAAAAGTAAAAAATCATCGACGGCGACTAAAAGGTAAGTATTCTCAGCATAATACGAACAAGGGTCTACTTTGGAACATATGAATCCAATAGTGAGTAAGAAATTATTTAACTCAGAATTCCAACATTTAGAGGACTGTTGGAGACCATACAACGCTTTGTTAAGCTTACAAACAACATTTTTATAACATTTTGTTCCGTGATAACATGTTCAGGTATTTCCATGATTGTAGGTTTGTCCAATGCACTGTTAAGAAAAGCAGTCTTTATGTCAATGTATTGCACACTCTTGCCAGTTTCTACTGCGATGGAGAACAAGACACGAACTGTCACCAAATGGGCAACCGGTGAATACTTATCCAGGACATCTTCTTGTTTGTAGCCCCGTGCAACAAGTCCCGCCTTTTTCACTTTCACACCATCACTTGTTTTTTCCGAGAAAACCCACACAATGCCATTGACATTTGCATCTTGAGGACGTTGAATAATATCCCATGTATTGTTGGGACTGCAAGGCTTCTAATTTAGTTTCCACGGCCTTCTTTCAACCACACTTCATAGCTTGTTTGAATGATTAAGGTTGTTAGTTGCACAGTCCACCAGAGTACAAAACTTCAGCAAAGTAGAGCTCAAAGTCTTTGAACTTTTCAGGAATCTTCTCACAAGCAGGCTTTCGGAGCGAAACATCTGGTTGTACTTCATCAGTTGTTTTCTCAGAACTGCTATCCCTGTTAGAATCACTGATCTCACCTACACTGTCTGTTAAAGTTTCATCGCCGTTAACACTGTGGTGTGAAGTATCATCGCTGTCATTGTTAGATGCAGATGAGGTAACGGAGATCATCAGGAAGATTGAAATACACCGAATCATTTGCTGTTTCACTTTCCTTATCGACAGGTGATAAATTTTCGTCAAAAACGATGTGTCTACAGATCTTTATTTTGTCGGTTGCAGGATTGTACAAACAATGGTTTCTGTTTCCCTGGTATCCAACGAAGATAAGATTTTCACCTCTTGGAGATAATTCATGTCCCAATTTTGGGGGTACATGGGCTCATGCTGTCGACCCAAAAAATTTTGTATGCCCTAAGAAGGGCTTTTTGTTGTTCCATAATTCATATGGAGTCAAATCGGATCTGGAGTTAGGGGTTCTGTTTAGGATGTAGACTGCAGTATTTACCGCTTCAGCCCATAATTTTTTCGGTTGAGAAGATTGGAATAACATTGTTTGTGCGCGTTTTTTGCTTTCCATGATTGTGCGCATCTCCCTTTCACAGCGTCCATTTTGCTGAGGCGTGTATGGAGCTGTTGTTTTAAAAATGATACCTTGATTTGTGAAGAATGTATGCAATTCATTGTTGACAAACTCACCAGCACCACCATTATCTGACCTAATGGTTTAAATTTTCAGAGATATATTTGCATACTGTTTCACAAATTCTATAATATATGGAGTTGCATCTGACTTGTGATGTAAAAAGCGTACGATTCCAAAACCTGAGAAATCATCTTTCATCAATAAAAAGTAACGGTATCCACTTACGGAAGGATTGGGTAATGGACCATTCAGATCTATGTGAACAGTTCCTCCAGGTTGTGATATCTTATCATTACTTCTTAGAAAAGGTTGTTGGCATTGTTTGCCAAGTATACATGTCTCACAGAAATAATCTCCGAGTTTCGAGAAATTGACCCCTTCTGTACAGTTGGGGACTTAGTTCAAGAACGATTTGTTAATATGCGCTAGGTGTTGGTGCCAAATCTGTAAACTGGCTGCAGAGTTGGCTTCACCGACTGCAGGTACCTTCAATATGGTATAGGGCGTTGACAGTCTTCTGTGCATGTAACATGAGAATGCCGTCTTGAAAGACTTCTGCGGAACTAGAATTCTTAACGATCTGCATGCCTTTGCTCGTTAACACACCCTCAGAGAAAAGGTTTCTCTTGAGTCCAGGGATAAATCTAACATCTTTAATTACAGCGTCAACCCATACTCCATCCACAAGAGTTACCACATTAACACTGCCTCTTCCATAAATAGTTAGGACAGTATTATCACCGAGAAGAATTTGGTTTTTACCATCTTCAACGTAATCAGTCTTTAAGTCTCTGCAGCAGCACATATGATAAAAAGCGCCACTATCTAGGATCCATTGATCATGGTCTGAATTGTCACAGCTAACATTAAGAGCACGTTTCTTCTTGGAAGCATCAGATGAGTTTGATTTATCGGCAATGTTTGCAGAATGTTTATCAGAATTTTTGCGTTCATGACTATTTTCACAACAACATTTTTTGGGCAGAACTGATGAAGTAACTTGTTTAGGAGCCTTACAAAATTTGGCAATATGACCAAATTTTTCGCAGTTATGGATAACATTGAACATTTTGATGATTGGACCGACAAGGTTTCTGCCCAACTGTTATAGCTGAGTCTAAATCCTCGCTCAAAGACAAATTGACTTCCTCATCTAATAATCTTGTCGACAGATTTTTCAAAGTCCTTTGATCTGGCTCCATAGATAGCCATGACGAAGCCTGACGAAAATATCGATACTTCATCGGTAAAGCAATGATAATTTAGTGAAAACGGAAGTGTCACTAACATCTTCACCTGTGTCTTTAATCTCCTTGACAAGATTCTCCACTCGAGTAATATATGTTGACATTTTCTCACCATTTTATATTTTCAGTCGATGAAACTTGTCCAAGAATCTTGCTGAACTAAGATTTGTTCTTGTAGATTGAATCCAGTTTATCGAGCGCATCTTTTGCCGAATCACAATTCTGGATTGTTTTAATCTTCTCAAGACTGAAAGCGGATGAGATGATAAACAAAGCGGTATTGTCTTCTTTAAGGAACTTTGCCAATTCTTCTTGATTACTATCATTGGGTTTCTTTACGTCGCCAGAGACATATCCGAAGAGACACCTTGCACTCAATGCACACTTAAGTTGGAATCACTATTGCGGGTATTATTTACTGTCAAACTTGGTCATGGGCATCATTACATCGGACAGAGAGGAGGCCATAATGCTAAACGTGAATGCCCGCACAATACACCACTGATGAAACAAAGTGGACCGCGACCACGAACACGAGAGTCAAGTCATTCACTTCGGAGGAATCGAATCACAGTCATGACTTAGCCGAAGAACAGCACCCTGCAGTCCATGAAAACCGAGTTTGGAAGCCGAAAAAAAATTTTCAACAGCCTCGAGGAGCTAAGCATACGCGAGGCACAGGAAATACCGTTGTACCATCACTATAAGTCTAGAACTGAGGCAAATTTTTCTCGTGAAAGGCCCATAACCTCTGAAATGGGTGGAAGGGCAAAAAAGAACACTATCTCAGATAAAAGTCATAACCTTATATAACGCAAAAGATACAAAAGGCTTGCTCGATATGAGCATGATAAGCTACAACAGAAAAACGGAAAGCTTGAACACAACGAGACGCCATGACAGGAATCATGCGACTAATAACAGTAAGAGAAAAGGACCAATCACAGAGCACAATTCTGCTGTGCAACGCAAAAACGCCGTAAACGCCATTCTACATTTTTTGGAAACGAATCAGCGCAGAAAAACTTTTGTACCTTCAGACAATGTTTTTAAAAAATTCTTTCGTAAATACTATCAAGAACTAAACCTGAAAATTTGAGGTGCATGGGTAAAACAGCTTTTATTTTATGAAGTGTTAAGTTCCAAAAAACGAGGGGAAGTCTTGATGGATTTACGGCGTTCTTACTTAGGACGGCAGAATTGCACAAGGTATCTGGCTGCATCTCACAGCCCAGCCGTTTTTGAGTTATGAATTTTTAAAGTTGCTGTTTTTGAGCAGCAGCAATGCACTCAAGTTTAGCCTACTGTGCGCGCACCTTATATTACGGTTAGTGTGTCTCATAGATTTTGTTAGCCAGTTGGCCCAGTGGCAGCGCACTTGACTACGACATCGGTGGTCCATGGCTCGATCCCTGTCCACGAGAGGAGTTTTTTATAACTGATAATTTTATTTTTTAATCGCTGTATCACAGCAAATTGTAACTCACCTTGTAAACATTTTGATGTTAATTATTTTTCAGATGTATTTTTCAATTACTTTTTTTATGTTTCTTATGATTGTTTGATGAAAAAGCCATATTGCTAATTTTAAGTCACCATCAACACACAAAAACATCAAAAAACATCATTAGCACATAATGTCTACAAAGACATTATGTGCTAATGATGTTTTTTATGTCTTTTCGTCAAACAATCATAAAAAAGAACAAAAACAAAAATAATTAAAAAAATACATTTTACAAATAATTAGCATCATGATGTTTACAAGGTGACTTACCATTTGCTACGATACAGCGATTAAAAAATAAAATAATCGGTAATAAAAAACTCCTCTCATGGACAGGGATGGAACCATGGATCATCAATCTTGTAGTTGAGCACGCTGCCACTGGGCCAACCGGCTCACACGATCTCTGAGATGCGCAAACCGAATTATAAGGTGCAAGCACTAGGCTGAACTTGACTGCGTCGCTGATGCGCAAAAATGGTAACTTTAAATATTCATAACTCAAAATCGGCTGGGCATTGGAGCAAAAAAGAAAAAAATGCGGGTTCTTAAATTTCCCCATTCTAACTCCCTGCCAAATTTGAACCCTATCTGCGGAGTACAATCGGCAGCCTCCTGCTATTAGACCTGTACTCAAGCTTTTTCATTCTATGCAATGGGATAATAATTGTAAAAAAAGAGTAACAGAGAGAAAATGTTACAATTGAAAGCATGTATAACATGACAGAGAAAGAAATTTCTTTTTTTTTATCTCCTAACCTAAACCGTATATTGTAAACCAAGTATCCGAACTTTCATGTAAAATAGGAGTATCTTGGATAGCACTATTTATTTTAATTCATTATTCTGTCATATTTTTCTTCTTTCTAGATTTGTTGGCCAGCTTTTAAGACTGTTAGTCTGCAATAATGAAAAATTTGGTGCTCAAATTCAGAAACATGTAAAAGAACTTGTTGGACATGAAATGTCACCTGCGTTATACCCAATTTTATTCGACCAAATCAAATCTATAGTTGAAAAATTTTTTGACCAAAGTGGCCAGGTATTTAGTCAGCATTTTTATTCTCCATAGCTAAACATATTTTATCCTCTCTCACTTTTGATAGCTCAGTAATATTATTAAAATAATTGGAAAAAAGAGGAGCTGAGAGATGTGCTCCTTGTTTAACGCCTAACAGGACTCTAATAACTTTTGAAAAATACCATTTTTTTTATTTGTTTAGCTTCTTTTCCTTTCTTTTTTCCTAGGAATCTACACACATGACATATAGACACGTAATACGTAGACACATTACTCATAAACACATGTGTAAAAACACCTATTGACTTTGACTGTTTGGGTTCTTTCTCCAAGTTTATTTATTTATTTGAAAGTTGATACATTAACTCCCTTTAAGGGATCGTACAAGTTAAATGAATCAGAGTACAATACAGCACAAAGGAATCAGATACAGAATGAATTAAATTAGGCAATAAGAATAAAATAAAAAAATGACTAAAAGAAGCGATGGACAAAGGCCAAAGAAAGAGGTCATCAACATGGTAGAATGCATTCTCCAGGACAAAAGCCCTGAGTTTGAGAAAGAACACGTTTATTTCACCCCTCTTAAGTGTTTTTCTCATCTCAGAGGGAAGGGCATTGAGTAGTTGAATTGATGCTGGTCTTATATTTGTTTTTGAGATAGAGTAGGTGAACTTTTCTGGAGTTAAAATATTATGCCTGGTGTCGTGGCTATGTGCGGGGAATAACTCATAAAGATCAATTACTTTGTTAAAAATAGCATACTTTAAAATTTTGTAGATGTACAGGGATGGGAGCGTAAAAAGTTTATTTTGTTTGAAGACTTCTTTACAAGGGTAGTTGAAGGGGAGATTAAACAAGATTCTGAGTACTTTATTTTGCTCAATAAACAAACTCTCTGAGTGAGAGCTGCCCCAGAGAATGATCCCATATCTTAGATGAGATACGATATGCCCATGATAAAACATCAGCGCCACTTCTCTTGATGTTACCGTAACAAGATTCCTTAAGGCCCATGTATGACTTTGTATTTTACTGATTGTATGATCAATGTGGGTTTTCCAATTAAGATGATGTTCTAAGTGGACCCCTAGAAATCTCGTCGTGGTACTCAAATCTAGGCAAAGGGAATCATTCAATTTAATTGATTGCACTAGCGGATCTATCAGAGCAGATGGTGTGTAATACAGCGCCTGTGACTTTTCAGCATTTAGCATTAATTTATTAACATTAAACCAATGGTTGACATAATAGAAAGCTCTTTCGGCACCTGTCAACGCATCATCGCCAATTAAAACTACTGAGGTGTCGTCAGCAAATCGGTATGTTCGAAAGTCTGCATATTGAGGCAAGTCATTTATAAAAATATTGAATAAAAGTGGGCCCAATATAGAGTCCTTCAGCACTCCTGTTTTTACCGTACGAGTTGTAGAGAAGACTTCCTTGGTGCCTGAATTAATTTTTACTATTTGCTTTCTGTCTGCAAGGTGAGACGTCATGAGTTTTATTGCCTGGTTGTTTAGACCATAGAATTTCAATTTCTTTAATCAGAGCTCATGATCTATAGAGTCAAAAGCCTCAGCAAGGTCAAAGTGCAGACTTAACGCCGGAATTTTTTCTTCGAAGGCTTGAAAGATGCTTTCTAACAGTTTTTGAATGGCATGAACCGTTGACAGGTTTTTTCTAAAACCGAATCGACTTTTGTTTAGAAAGTTATTGGATTCAAAATATTTATTGAGTTGTGAGTATAGAATTTTTTCATAAATTTTTGCTTCCTTAGGAAGGACAGTAATTGGGCGATAGTTGTTCAGTAACTTTCTGTCTCCTTTCTTCTTGTAAAGAGGCGTTAAAGTACCAACCTTCATAAAGTCAGGAAACGTTCCTTCCCTTTTACTGAAATTTATTAAGGTTAGCAGAGGTTGGCCCAATAGGTGGAAATAGTCCTTAAAAACAAAAGTTGGTATGTTGCCATTTCTGTCATATTTACTGGGTTTTAGCTTATTGATAACTGATTGGAGTTCATCAATACTAATCTGATGAAACTCAAAGCAAGATGAAACATAGGGATAACATCTATTAAGTATATTAAGGGCTTCAGAGCTGTTAACAATACGGGGGCCATTTGTAGCCAAATTGGCAAAGTATGTATTGAACTCATTCGCAATTTCACCAGGATCAGTTTTTTCTATGCCATGGATCTCGATAGATTTGATCCAGGACTGTTGTTCAGCTCTTGTCTCCTCATCAATATTACTCTATATTGTTCTTCCTCTGTTTCTTGAGTTCCTTATTTCATCATCGTTCATAATTCGTTTTTGTCGATGAAGCTCTTTTAACCGTTGCCTCGTTGCTTTTTTAAACTTAATGTTAATCTTAATGTGTTAAGTTATTAATTAAACCAACTCAGTAACGGACCTCAATACCGAAGCATCGTAATTTAGGAAGTTAAAAAAAAAAACCCTCTCCACCTTGTGTAGGAAGTAACATACATAGTCAAATTGACCCTATCCAAGGCCCTCACACTTTCAAAATAAAGAATGTAAGTGTCAAGATTTTTGACAAATCCGTGCGTGATGTAGTTGATCACCTTTTTTAAGCTAATTACAGAGGAGTGTTTAGGCATGAATCAATGTTACTCTTTACTGTCAAAAGAGAAAAAGTTGGCAATGCTATCTTGAAAAGGAACCAAGAGGCATCAGGCGTTGCCAGATTTTTTTAGATAGTTTATTTTTTTGGGAGAAACCAGTTGTACCAGTTCTCTTGAAAGTGTCAGTAAAATACGTTTACGACATGAAAGCATGATGTCTACGACTGGAAAAAACCGGGAAAGTCCGGGATTCATTAGGGAATAAATTTCAGAAATAATTAGGGAGTATGTTCTAGAGACTTGAAATCTTCTCTTCTACCTCTTTGGGTTTATATTGTTGCTCCTAAGCTGCCATTATTGACCTCTTGAATGACTTACTAGAAACCTCAAATCATCAGTATAATAAAGAAGCTTCCATTAATGAGATAGTGTAAACGTAAGGAACGCTTGTGGAATTAGAAGTTTTAATAAGCACCAAAGAATCGGCTGAAGTATAAAGAAAAAAAAATAAAGGGAAAAAAAAAAAAAAAAAAAAAAAAAAAAAAAAAAAAAAAAAAAAAAAAAAAAAAAAAAAAAAACACTAAGAAGTGGCCCAAAACTGTATGTAACAAGGTGGTTGCGTCTAGATGTGTTCGCATCTCCAACCAGCCTGATTATCAGTTTTTCGTGTTTTCCTTGTTTGTTATGAGAGTTGTTCAGCAGCGACGGTAGATGCCGCGAGGATCACACTTTTGTGTCATGCCTCGGGTCATATCCGTGACGGCGTTTTAATGCCGTTTTGGATTTTGCGGCATGTTAAGTTGGGTTCACTGCCGAGTGTGATCTACTGATGAGGTCTAAAAAGGCCCAAACCGGTATAGATCTCTCGACGTGACTCCAACTTAATATTCCTATGCAAACTGCCTGAGCTGAACACTCTCCCCCCTCAGTTTCGTACTGGTGCGCATTAAAGCTCAAAAAATTAATTTTGACTCTAATGTTAATTTTTGGAACTCCTTGGCTTTGATTTCCCCGCGAAATGGTGTGGACCCAGCACCATTTCTCCACCTTGAAAAAAAAATATCGTTATGCCCATCCAGAACTCCGGAGATGTATGTGGTTTCTCTCAAAAAAATCCAAGGGAAAAGGGGAAAAAATTTAATTTTTCATCAGGAAGTGAGCTCCTAAAAATCAGAGAAAAATCAGGGAGCAATATCAAGAATCCCAGACACCATGTATAAAGGATGTCTCATACTATCCGAAAAGCATTGGTACAATTCGTCGTTTTTCCCACGAAAGAACGTAACTACAAATTAAAAAATTAAACCTAAAAAGTGGCCCGAAACTGTATTTAACAAGATGGAGAAATGGTGCTGGGTCTACACCATTTCACGGGGAAACAAAGCCAAGAAATACCAAAAATTAGAATTAGAGTCAAAAATAAATTTTTTTTTTTTTTTTTTTTTTTTATTCTAATTTTTGGTATTTCTTGGCTTTGTTTCCCCGTGAAATGGTGTAGACCCAGCACCATTTCTCCATCTTGTTAAGAACGTAACTACATTTCGATGTTGTCGGATTTTTCTTTGCAAAACGCGTTTTCACCAGGAGTTGTTTGAACATTTCTGACTGAAAATTTCTCTGATTTTTCTCCTGATCCCATGCAAAAATCAGACACGTTTTCGACGAAAATTATGCAGGTTTATTCTCGTAAAAAATTAAATTATTTAAGTGAATTAGACAACCTTGCAATGGAGTTACGTTCCTTCGTGCGGGATACGACGAATTGGTCTCTCGTAAAAAAAATTAAACTGTCTGATGAAATGTCCTAACGACCAACGTAACTCTCACTACCTAAAAAAAGAAAAAGTCTCGGTAACAATTTTTGACCTGTCAAAAATTTACCTCGGAAATTCTTCAAAAATTAAAAGGTAGTTTTTCTGGAACTTAATATAATTAAAAATTAAAGACTAAGTTGCTACCTGTTGAACTTTGGTGAAGGAATTTTGACTAACAGGATTTTGAAGGTTATTTTTAACTTGACACACACTTTGAGAAACATCACGAACTGAGAGAGGTCTAATTCATAACTACCTATGCCTTGTCTCTTGTTCTTTAAGTCAGTTGCTTGCAATTGTGTGTCGACACAATCAGATCCTTCTTATCAGATTGTGTCATAACAATAAATGTAGTGATGCCGTGTGGAATTTACTTTTGTTTTATTTTTGAATACTATCAAGGTCCGTAAAGATATAAGAGTTCAAAGCATTTTTTTTATTATTAGCATTTATAAAACCATGCCTTTGAATGTTATTCATATTTTCCTATAATTCATGTGTACTAATTTTGTGAGTAATAGGTTATTTTAGATCAAGTGAACACGCAGTTCATTGAACACATAATATTCATCATGAAAAATGTCTTGGAATGTAAAACGGATCAGCCTGCAGAACATCTAGGAGTTACAAGTATTGAAGGCATGATGTTAGCAATAGTGAGGTAATTTTATACTTGTGCCTCTTTCACAGTCCATGATTTTTTCTTCTTTTTTTTACCTTATATTGTATTTTGAAATGCTGAAAGTATCCTTTAGGGATTTTTCAACTTCTCTTTTGATCTGTGACATCATTCCCCATAACTTTCTCAAAATGCCTCAGACATTTCATACCCTCAGTACATTGGTCTGTTTGCGTAATTTTTGTCAATCAATCTATTTTTCCCAAGGGCTCGGAGGCTCTGGTTAGGTCTTTTCACAGTTGAAATTTTTTTACTAGTACCAGAGAGCCAGTCCAGTGCATGAACTCCCAACCCGGAAGACCAGTGTTTGAATTTGAAGTACTCTTCTAGATTGGTTGCTTTCCCTACGACTAAAAGCGCTATTCACCCTTTCTGCAATTGGTCTAGGGGTAGATAACCACTTACCTCTCATACTTAGCAAACATTCTCCCATCCATTTCCCAAGGTATGCACTCTCCATTGGTCATAGGAACCTCTGGCAGCAATTCCCAGTATAATCTTGGAGAAATCAAGTTTTTTCTTCTGTCTACTAATATCTTTCCTTTATTTTCCTCCTCATTTTCTCAGGTATGTGAGACATCTAGATATGAATGGCAATTCTGTGATCATCAAAACAAAGCTTTGTCAGTTAGTTGGAGCAATGATGAAGCAAAGGGATGACCTAGCTTTCCGGCAAGAAATGAAATTCCGAAATAAACTTGTAGAATATTTGACAGATTGGGTGATGGGCACATTACCTAGTATGAATTCTGCTGGAGCTGTCGTTGAGCCTCCCAACCCCGTGAAGTAAGTAAACTTTTATCATCTTAAATTGTCCAGGCGTAGTCAATCATACATATAGGAACTATTGTACTCCCTATCATTTATGGAAACTTAATCTCGAAATTAGTCCGAACACATTCGGTCATTACTATATAGATGATGCAATGTTAGAAACTTCAAATTCATGAACTTGTTTTTTTTTGTTTTTTTCTTTTGGATGAGGTAAGGCCTCAAATGAGATTAAAATCAGAAAATTAAACTTATTAATTTTCGTACTAGTTTAGGATCCACGAAGTCACATTTGCATGCCACCCTGAAACTTGCAGGGTATCTTCCAGGGTCCCCAGGACACTAGGGTGTCCCTTATTTTTGAAATTTGAGAAAAGTTTAGCTCCCCAGGTCTCAAAACGTGCTATGAGGTGTACAAATAAGGAATGTTTTTTGGAAAAAATTTTAAAAAATTTTTTAGGACTCTCTCAAGCGCCCTAAAGGGCGTCAGTCGAAAACGTTCATTTCTGGTAGAGTGGATAGTCAATCCTAGGTGAAATTGACGAATTAACGCCTGTAAGACGAAAATTTGATCCGTTTGGTCGTATCTTTGATCGTTCAGCCGGGAAACCGACTTAAATGGGCGGGAAGTCGAGCCGCGGCCGCGCGCCGCGCGCGGCTGACCGAGACAAGCTTTGCATCGCGCGCCCGCCGGCCGCGCGCGGCGACGCGCGTGGGTTGTGAGTGAGGAACATGTACTCATACACAGCTAAACGTAGTGCAGGAAGCAACGATGGGGAGGCTGCAAAA